ACTTCTACAACCATAAATCACTTACTCAGTTGTCTTGTCTTTTTACTTCACAAGAGTTCGAGGTCGGCTCTAGTCTTCCCTTGCACCTTTGGTTCGGCCTAATAACATAATGAGACTTAATAGGTGATTCTAAAACTTACTTGATTCATACATCTCATTTAGGTTCGGCCCTTTAGGATATTAGGACATAGGGGATGATTCTAACAACATGAATTCATGCATAGTACTCTAAAAATTCGGTTAACATATAAGTCCCATTTTTACAAGGTTTTCCTTTCTTTTTAGCTCTCAAGAATTCGAATGAGGGAAGAAGTTTTGTATTCCTTTAGCCCTTATAACACGAAAATATTTAAGAGGGATGGAGGTCATAACTTGAACATAAAGTCTAAGGGACCTTACCTCAGAGGATGATGTTTGATGGTGATTCTTCCACCAATGTGTCACTCTTGCTTCTAAGTGTCACGAGTTCTTCTATAGACGATGAAAGAGACTTGGGAGTTATTTTTGATGTTCCTTTACCCTAGCTATGTCAATGGCCGAAGTCTTAGGGGAGGGAGGGGTTTGTTTCTCTTTGGGTTCTTGTTCTTTGGGGAAGGCCGAAGCCTTGGTGGGGGAAAGAGAGGGTTCTTTGTTTTCCTTTGGTTTCTTGTTGGAGTTAGAGTGAGTGAGGGAGTGTGACCTTTGCTTGGTTTCCTTGGTATGTACGGTTAGGATGGGGGGAAAGGCTTGGGTCATCTATTTTATCCAAGTCCCCTTAATCATCACACCTAGGAGAGGAGAGGTTATGTTCTAGGTTGAGTGTGGGTTAGGCAATCTTCTTACCTTGTTCCAAGTTGTCATGCGCATGGGGAGGAGGAACTTTTGCATGCCACGCCTAGGTTAGAGAGATCAAGGTTCAACATTAATTGCTTGGGGAGTGATGTGCATGGGGAGGAGAACTCTTGTATGTAGCGCCTTGTTTAGAGAGAGATAAGGTTCAATGCTTTAATCATTAATAGGGGAATATGGGTTAGTGTGTAAGGCTCTTGCCTTTTCTCTTTCATTAACCGAAACCCTAAGAGAAGGGTGTCAATATGATCTTCCCAATGCATGGGGGTTGGGGTAGGTCACCTTGAGTGTGCCACACTCAACGTAAAGTCTGTAAGACAAGCTTTTCCCTTTTCATGATAATTATTGCGCCTAGGGGGATGGGGAAAAGTGGCTCCACTTTCTAATCATAAATGAAGAGAGGCTTTGGGTTATGTACCTTGGATGTGTCGCCTAGGGAGAAGGGAAAAATGAGTTTACTTTTAATGAAGAAGGCCTTGGTTTATGATCCTTTAATGCGTCACCTTGGGAGAAGGAAAGGCAATTGTCTTCTTGCTTCTACATGGCCGCGGCTTGCCCTGGAAATAGCCAAGTTCCATTCCATTCTTTTCCCTTATTGGTTGCATGTAATGGCATCCATTCATCACATACCACGTCATTCATCATATGCTCATGGGCTTGGGCTTGTTGCACCACTAAAGAGGGTCCACGGTTTTGGGCTTCTTAATGGCTTGGGGTTGCTTTGCTTTTTGGGCCAAGCCCACACTAGGTAGAGGGTTCAGCCCACTTGGCCTTTTGAGGTTAGGTTCTCATGGAAATTAGTGAATGGACCCACTCTTATTCCTATACATATTGGGTTCGGCCCAAGGAGTCTCTTTGGGTTGGGATCACCCTAGGTTGGCTACTTATGTTTATCATTGATGTGGGTTTAGTCTAAGGTCATACAACTTCAAGGGTTATGAGTTTGGGCCATTAAGGCCATTACTTGGTGTGGTTCAACCCATTAAGTTTTGGGCCTTTAGATTATTTAATCATGCTTAACTTGGGCTATTCACATATGACTATCATTAATTCATTTGGTCCACACAAGACTCATTAATAAATGTGGCTACATAATTTAGGGTTATTACATCCATTCTACCTTAATAAAATTTTCGTCCTCGAAAATTACAATTAATCTAAGTCGGGGTATTGCCGTCAGATCTCATCTTCACGCTCCCAGGTTGCTTCTTCAGGGGTCCTTCCTTGCCATTGCACCTTCACCATCGGAATCACCTTGCTGCGGAGTCGCTTTTCTTCTCTATCTAGAATCTTGCAGGGTGCCATCAGAATCTTCAAGTTGGGTCTCACTTCAACAGTGTCTGGTAATACGACATGGGAGAGATCTGCCAAATACTTCTTCAACTGGCTTACATGAAATACATCGTGAAGGTTCGCCAGATTGGGTGGTAATGCTAATTGATAGGCTACCGGTCCTACCCTTTTTAGGATTTGATGAATACATGATCCCCTACTTCAAACTCCAGGGGTCGGTGCTTCAGGTCATAGTAACTCTTCTGTCGATCTTGGGCTTTCCGTAGCCTGTCGCGAATCATCTTGATCTGTTCCGTCGTTTCTCTGATCATGTCTGGTCCGAACAACTCTCTGTCGCCAACTTCTTCCCAGCAGGTAGGTGTACGACACCTTCTTCCATAAAGTGCTTTGTACGGGGCCATACCGATACTGGCATGATGGCTGTTATTGTAAGAGAATTCTGCCAATGGTAGGTACTGATCCCAACAACCTTCCTTCTCTAAAGCGCAGGCTCGTAACATGTCCTCGAGTGTTTGTATTGTCCTCTTAGTCTGTCCGTCGGTCTGGGGGTGATAAGCCGTGGTCAATCGCAGTTGGGTCCCGAATGCCTGTTGCAATGAAGACCAGAATCGGGGTGTAAACTTAGGATCTTGATCACTGATTATGCTCTCAGGGACGCCGTGCATCCTTACAATTTCCTTCACATAGATCTGAGCCAACTTCTCTGTCGTGTAAGTCCCTTTCACCGGTATGAAGTGTGCTGATTTGGTCAGTCTGTCGACCACCACCCAGATGGCATCGTAGCCTGCTTGAGTTCTGGGTAAACCGGTTACGAAGTCCATAGATATACTCTGCCATTTCCACTCTGGGATGCTCAAGGGCTGTAGGGTGCCTGCCGGTCGCTGATGTTCAATCTTTACTTTCTGGCACACCATGCATTTGCTCACGTACCTTCCCACATCTCTTTTCATTTCTCTTCACGAGAAGTTCTTTTTCAAGTCTGCATACATCTTGGTGGCTCCTGGGTGTATTGAGTATTGACTCTTATGCGCCAGCTCCATGACTTCCTCCCTCAGGGGTTTTGTAAGGACCACAATCCTCCCTTGGAAGGTAATTATGCCTTTCTGGTTCAGGCTAACACCAGATTGGTTCCTCAGTCTCTTCAAGCAGTCGACGGCTTGCTGAGCATGTTTGATCCTTTCTAATAGTTCGTCTAAGATTTGCACCGCCCAATATTCGACCTCGCATTCGCTATTTACCACTGCCAAGTTCAAGTTCCGGAATTCCTCTATCAGTCGATGCTCGGCTATCATCATGCTCGCAACTCCTTTGGTTTTTCTGCTCAAGGCATATGCGACTACATTCGCCTTGCCGGGATGGTATTGTAATTCAAAGTTGTAGTCCTTTATGAACTCCATCCAACGACGCTGTCTCATGTTCAGATCTTTTTGATCGAATAAATACTTGAGGCTCTTGTGATCACTATACACTGTTAGGGTGGTACTGTACAGGTGATGACGCCATATCTTCAAGGCAAACACGATCGCAGCTAATTCTATATCGTGTGTAGGGTAGTTTTCTTCGTGCGGCTTCAGTTGTCGGGATGCATACGCTACTGGTCTGCCGTGTTGCATAAGTACACATCCCAAGCCTATCTTGGAGGCATCACAATACACCTCGAATGGTTCCTCCGGGTCTGGCAGCATCAGTACTGGAGCTGTTGTCAGCATTCTTTTTAACTCTTGGAAACAGGCTTCACATTCTTGGGTCCACACGAAAGGGACTTCCTTTCTTGTCAATCGGGTAAGTGGTAACACCCTCTTCGAGAACCCTTCAATGAATCTCCGATAATATCCTGCTAGTCCGAGAAAGCTCCTTATCTCTGTGACAGTCTTTGGTCGTTCCCAGTCTACTACTGCTTCGATCTTACTGGGATCCACTACTACTCATTTATCTGAGATTACATATCCAAGAAATTGGATCTCTGGCAGCCAGAATTCGCACTTCGATGGTTTCACATATAGTTGTTTTTCCCGCAATACTAGTAGCACAACTCTCAAGTGTTCTGTATGCTCTTCTTTTCTTTTTGAGTATATTAGTATGTTGTCGATGAATACGACCACGAATCGATCCAAGTAAGGTTGGAAGATCTGATTCATGTAGCCTATGAATACTGTCGGGGCATTAGTTAATCCGAAGGGGATGACCAAGTACTCGTAGTGTCCGTATCTCGATCTGAAGGCTGTCTTATGGATGTCTTCCGGCTTGATTCGGATCTGATGGTATCCTGACCGGAGGTCGATCTTCGAAAACACCTTTGCACCCCTTAGTTGATCAATCAGGTCTTCGATACGGGGCAAGGGGTACCTGTTCTTGACAGTCACTTTGTTGAGTTGCCGATAGTCCATGCAAAGTCTCATTAACCCGTCCTTCTTCTTTACAAATAGAACTGGTGTTTCCCACGGGGACACACTGGGTCGGATGAAATTCTTCCCTAGCAAGTCTTCTAGCTGCTTCTTCAATTCTACCAATTCAAGGGGAGACATGTGGTAGGGTACAATTGAGATTGGCCCAGTCCCGGGCATAAGTTCAATAGAGAACTCCACTTCCCTTTCAGGGGGAAATGTGGTAATGTCGTCAGGAAATACATCCTCGAATTCTTTGACCACGGGAATGTTCATCAGCGGCGTCTCGCTTGCACCTACCAGGCTAGCTATTAGCATGAAAGTACAATCTTTTGATTCGACCGGTGAAGTACTGGGGAATGGGGTCTCCATCCTTTTCCCGCCGACTATTATACTTCGGCTGCTACAATCAATTACCACGCGCTGTTTGGCCAGCCAGTCCATTCCCAATATTAGGTTTAGTTTGGCTAAGGGGAGAATTATGAAGTCTTGTTTCTACTTCTTTCCTTTGTATCTGAATTCTACATTTCTACATATGAAGTGAGACGTTGTCACTTCCCCCGTCGCAGAGGTGACTTGCATTGGGGATTGCATTGGGCTCATAGTTAAGTTAAATGCATTTGCCACATAGTTGACCATGAAGGAATTGGTTGCAACAGAGTCAAATAAAACAGATAGTTCTTCACCACATATATTGATCGTACCTTTAACTAGTTCGGCCGCCTGGTCCGCCACATGTTGATCCAGCGTGTAAACTCTGCCCATTCTTGGTGCCTCAGCTGCTGGCTGTTGTTCCCTCCATTGTGGACAATCTTTGATGAAGTGTCCATCTTGGCCGCACTTGAAGCATTCCATCGATCCGCTCAAACAATTTTCGAAATGTGCCTTCCTACATTTGGGGCAATTGGGAGCCCTGCTACTGTTTCCTCGGGGATTCCCGGGCCTCTTAAACTGGTGGTCATCACGCCTGGGCTGCCATGGTCTGCCTCCGCTTTTCCCTCTCCATGGTCTGTTCCTAGTCATCAGAGCTCTGTGTCCGGATCCGCTGGTCTTCGCGGGCTTCCTTGTTTGCAAACCGACCACCTCCACCTTTCTACATTTGTTTACTATGGTGGCCAGGTCACAGGTGTCGTTGCCAGCTACCAATTCCGCAATCCTCGCAGACAGACCCCTTTGCAATTTTGCTGTCAAAAAATCCGGCATGGGCATGGTCCCTCGGTAAGTCGCCAATCGGAGTAGTTCGTTGAATTTAGCATGATATTGGTCCACCGTCATGGTCCCTTGTACGAGTCGGTCGAATTCGCCTTGCTTGCTGTCCCGGATTGACATCGGGAAATATTTCTCCAAGAACATTTCTTCAAATTCGGCCCAAGTAGTCGCCGTATTTTGCTTGCTCTGATACCATAAAATGCAACACCCTATTTATATACTCAATCCCTAAGGAGTCATTCATGTAGTCATAGTCTCCACTGCTCCTATCTGGACAGAGTTGCTGGGGTTCGACTTCGATGGTGTGACAGGGGCAGCACTATATGACGGAGACAACCATCATATATTTGGTGGTTATGATCGGGAGGCTGTTGTGGCTGAGACCAGGAGAGCAGATGCAGAGGCCGGACAATTTGCTCATTATCCTGTGAGCAATTTGTCTGTGTCTTCCTGCATACTTCATTATGTGGTGACACACATTATTTTCCATCGCCCTCATAATCACTCGAAGGTGCTAGAAGGTGACTTTGTGATCTTGTGGACCCTCCTTCACCATATTGAGGTGAACTGGAGGCATTACATATGCATATTGATGTGGAAGGCGGCTAAGTCAAAGAAGGCTGAATTGCCTTTTGCATTTCTGGTGGAGAAGATTCTGCACAAATCTTGACTCGTCACTTTTTTCAACTATGGTTGTCATGCGCCCCTTCATACAATGTATCTTTACAGCATGTTGCATTTCAGGTTTGGAGCCAAATTCATGTTGCACAAATAACGGATCTCTTAACTTCCAACCTCCATGCAAATCATCATCTCCATAGAGGACCTCCAACTCGTCATTAGGGTGCGCCCAATTAATGAATGAATAATGTTGGCTTTCATTCCAAAATGGCTCTACCGCAGTCCCTGCATCTAAAGCTTCATCATTATTGTCAGAATCAATACCACCGCAAAAATAATTTTTTAAAGCAAATGTCTAAATTTAATAACTTACCACTACTGACAGGGTCAACACGAAGTGGCGACATGGCTGGGGTACCCAGGCTTACAGTGCTCGTGTCAGCGTCAAAATTTCCATCCACGTCAGTGTCTGACGAATCACCTTGTGGAATAGAACTTTCAGATTCTCCCTCATCTTCGCTGTCCACATACTCCTCATCTTATCCTCTTCATCCACATCCAATGTTACCTGAGCAGGTGTAGATGATCGTACAATTGTATTTTCTTGACCAGTACAGTGCGCAGTGGTTGTATGCACCGATAACGATGAAGACTGACCAACATCAACTTCAACATATATCTCAATCATTTTTAATACTTTCCATCCAACTTACACATCTGTGACGAACTCCACATCTTCATCATCATTGATATCGTTACCAATGTAGTATATTGTATCCATATCCACTACAGTCTCTAACCTGGCTATCATGCGGTGGATGGATTGGATGCCTTCTGACCTCATTTTTTTGGAGAATTCTCTCCTTCAGTTCATTGCATGTAGTGCCCACTTTGATTTTCATCGTTTTTGTTTTTCCTTTAAATCGAACACCGTTCGGACCTTCAAAATGCCTCCCATTGTAGTAAATAACTATAGGAACCATGTTAGGACTTGAACTCATCTTTCACACGAAAATTTGGGTCTAGGTTTTGGGTTTGGATCTTGGTTCAGATTTTTTAACACAAAATGGGAATGTGGAGGTGTAACGCCAATGTCCTACCAAGATAGAGCTTTTTGAGATGAAGAGATGAAATATATGTGTGATGTTTCGGAATAGAGATGTCAATGGAGAGAGATTTGGGGGAAAAAAACTTTAACTCGCAACAATGGCTGAAACCTTTGATATTGGGGTTTCTGGCCGATATCTACCCGGGTATCCCCCTCCCTACCCGGGTAAATAATTCAAGTTTTTTCCAGATTTAAGAACACTACCCGAGTATCCCCGTCCATACCCGGGTAGGGTTGATTTTTCAAAAAATACCCGGGTATGGAGGGGGATACCCGGGTAGGTTTCATGGTCAACGGTCAAATAAGGGCAGATTGGTGTTATGTTTTTTGGGAGGGTTAATTTTTCAAAATAATTTCTAATCGAGAACAATTTGATAAATAATTATTAATAAATGGCTACAGTGGTCAAAATGCTTCTTTTTGCCATTGAACTTCGGTTGAAAAATAGAGGGAGAAAAGAAATGAATTTCGACGTGATTGTACTGAGCAATGAACGTTGATAGACTGAGTTGTCCTATCACTAAGAGTAGGTCATCTTTCTGGTATTGGGTATTACCAGCAACGTAATTAATGGTAGCCACAAACTTTCTGAAAAAATTTCAGAGAAGCCGAAGAAATATTCATACTTAAGCTGCAACAGTGCTGCATTTACACCTAATCAGTAGCTTCTCACTATTGGGAACAAATTCAAGGGAAGAAGAGAGCGCTGACAACAGTCAGGTTTGAAAAAAGTTGGGTAGCTAGGCGTAATATTCAATTGCCAGATAAACAAGACATGGGCGAGAAAATAATTTGGCTTACTAAAAAGACTTATCAACAAAGGGCCCATTTTGTCTTATTTATATTTTTTTTAATTTATTTTTATATAAAGCCCAATCTTAATTTTCCTAAAGCCTCAATGATACGGCTCCCCCTATTTTTCATTTGGCTAAAAATTTCTAAATAGCACGCTCATTATTTTTTATTTTTTTTAAAGATCCTAACCCATCAGTATATAAAATGTGCAATCTATTATAGCCCAACTAATTCTCAAGCCGTGTACCCAAAGTGAATTTGCATCGTGCAATTAATATTTCCTTACCAAATTGTACTATGGACCCGAAACTTAATATGATGGACTAACAGACATAACAGACTTACCACATACGTTAGTTATTAACTAATTTAGTTATCCATAAGGTAGTTTCAAGCTGCTACTCTCATTCCTCACTTACATATTCAACAAGTTGTATATCCAAAAGTCCACATAGAACATAATGATTTCCCACTAAAACAAGTCCTCACTGTCCTATCAACCGCAGTTGCTGACAATCAATCGGCTATCACTCAGAGTACCAAGAAAATACCTAGTACAACACAATCATTGTTATACCCCAAACTTAGGGGGTTTGTCCATATTCCTTCTACTTAATTAGCAATTATCAGTCAACACCTCTTTATCAAAGGTCCTTTGTTATTTGATTGTGGAACATGTTAGGACAGCAAAAACACTTGGTCTAAAACAATAGAGCCCTCTAGAAAATCAAAACTCACAAGCAACAAACTAAAACTACTCACAAAATCAAAACTAAACATGTCAGCAATTACACATACTAAACTAAACTAACCTTTCTATACACTAAACACTTAATCACTACTAACTAACTAATCAACTAGACCTGTACTCATGGTGGTACATAAATGTCTCCCATGGAGGGTGAAGTATGTTGATATAGGGGTGTCCATAGTAGTCATGGTAGAGGCCAAGACACTAGTGGAGCTTCCCATGTATGTGCTAAAGAGGAGAGTGTGTGTGTATGACAGCATATGAGAGGAGTCGGGAAGAAGGAGATCCCCTCTCCATGTGTGAGAGGGGTATTTAGAGAGGAGAGTCCTCTCTTCAGGGGGCTTGAGCTGGTCAGCCCATGAGCTGTCTCATCAAGCTGTCCACTGTCAGTGTACAGGGGTAGCAGTGCAGGATGGGGAATGTCCCAGTGGTGAGCCTCTATGGCTTCTCATGGGTGCCCTCCGGAAGGTTCTAGAATGTGGGCTTTGACAGATTGGGCCCATCTGGTGGGCCTAGTAAATAGCATCCGGAACAAGACCTTTTTTTAGTATTTCACCCTACATCCAATAAAGAGATGAAAGTCTTCTCTTTATTCATATGGCTGCTCCAATAATGCTTTAACCATCTAATCTTACTTGGGAATAGTTTAATTCTTATATTGAAATTAGAACAATTTTCTCTGTATCTAATCATTTGATTATTTTCTTTTTAATTATATCTTTCAAGAATAAACTAAGTCTTCCCTATTGATATAAAGAGATGAAGTTCAAATTCTTCTCATGCAATCCTAATGAGTCCAATTGCTTATCCCCAAAAAAATTGGTTGGTTTAAACTCTATGTTTTTAAAGTAGCCTTCTCCTAAGTTGGTATTTTTACTAATTAAAATCACATGGTCAACAACTAATTGGTCAAACACAGATATGGCTGAACAGTCATCAATGTTTTCCTCTATAAAATTCATGTCTTTCAAGAAATTAAATGTCATCTTTTCTTCATTAATCCTCATAGAAAATTCTCCCTTTTTTAATATCAATTATGACATCGTTTGTAGCTAAGAACGATCTATGCAATATAATAGGAACATCCTTGTTAGCTTCAAAATCAAGTATCATGAAATCTATTGGAAAAATAAACCTATAAACTTTCACTAATATGTTCTCTATTTTTTCATTAGGGACAATATTCCTATCTCCTATTACACATGAAATTGTAGAAGAACTTGGACTTTTCAGCTTGGATGGCAAATTGTTGGAGAGGTAATGCTCATGCTGCTGTTTTGGAGTCTTTAAGGAAAAAAGGAGATATCTTGCCCTTGATATTGGTCGAGGAGCTTTATTATTCTACATATTGATGTGTAGTGCCTTTGGTTTTGGAACTTGCTTTTCTGGTACAATAGAAGTCTCTTCCTCCTTGTCTTTTTCTTGAGGTATAATATGGTTGGTAGATGGTTGAGCTGAAAGAGTGTCATCAACTTGCTTCCCTTCTTTCTGCATTAACTTCCTCAAGGTAGATGGCCTTATCACAGGCTCCGGCTGGTCCTTTTCTTTGTCATTTCTTAATCGGAGGGCCTTGCTAGCTTCTTTTCCTTCCCTTCTTGGTATTTTAGTATCACTTGGGAGTGCTCCAAAGGGTCTATTGCTAAGGGCTAAAACTAGTTGCCCTATTTGAGTTTCTATATTTTTTAACATTTCTCCATGGCTTTGGAGGAGAGATGCATGATTTTATAGCATTTGACTTTGACCTTGTAGCATTTGGTCGTTCTTTGCAATATAATCTTTCATCCATTGTTC